AAGATCACGTTCCGAGTTGCTCTTGTGTCGGCCCTCCGAGCCAATGCATGCCACTCGTTTGACCAAGTGTCGCTCTGGCACTCGACCACCCATCTCTTCGCAGAAAGCTATCGCTGCGCGAGCTGTCTCACCAGCCTGCGTTGAAACGTATACCATTTTGTAAACTGCGTTGCCACTTTTTGCAAGTACACGTTTTCATAACCCGAATTCAGTACTTGACGAAACTCACCAAGTTACCTGAGTGGCACTGGTTCGGCCAGTGACAAACTCATCGATGAGCAAGTCACAAAGTGCTGATCCAGCATTCGCTGTCACCTTGCGTGATACGCGCAGAGCAACCTACTGTATGGGGCCTACACTTTACGTTGTAATTCTTGAAAAAAAGATGTCCCAGGTTCAACTGAAGCGTTGCCTGTGCATCCCTAGGCACCTGTCCCAAGTTCGAGGGTTGAGACGCACAACGGGGATCAGGTCGATCTATGAGAGTGGCAGGCTCCTGCCAAAGTTTGTGGTGTCCGACTAAGAAAACAGAATGGCAAACTCTCTTGAAGCTATATAGGACCCTATCAAATCACACGGAAGAATCCTACGTCGGTTGGCTCAGCAGGGGGCTAGAATTTGTTTGATGACAAGCTTTGGTCCCAGCGGTTATGCTTCAGGTCCAGGATCCCCAGCTCTCAGGGACTTTAGGAGGGACCCCTAATAGGGACCCTTAATCCCATTCCATATATAACCCTGGTATAGCCATTATATAACTAGGATGTCCCCATATGAATCCTCATAAGCTACAAGTGTCCGTATTAGGGGTCCCTCCAAAAGTGCTCAGACCAGCGTGCGCAGCATGAGAAGAACAGATATAGCTACAGCTCAGGATGTTGGGTGTCAAGGGTCTAATGTTCAGGGTGCGCATGAAGGTTCATAAGCTTGGGGAGTGGCTCCAGCACGCCCAAGATGAATGGGTTTGCGAGACATTAGCCGAATAACTACAAACACGATACATCAGCCATAATCTCAAATGGTGCACTGCGGATTTAGAGCTGCAATGCCTGCAATCTGGCGTCTGCAGAATCCTGGCCAGCCGGCGCCGACTTCCTGCCTGCACAGAAGAAATCTACGTAGGGAAGAGTTGATGGCAGTCACCAGGTTTGTGGGGCTCCTCATGCTTCAGCTAGAAACAAATTACCTGGCCTTCGCCAGTATGATCGAGAAGGGCTTGGCCAAAAAAGTTTCCATACTCTTGATAATAGACATCCTGCATGTCACTATTGGTAGGTTAATCTTTGGGAATTCTTGTAGTTTAGTACAGTATAAGGTCATGCAGGATTTCCATCACCAACGGTAGGGGGTTGAGGGTTTCACAAGCGGAAGTCCAGTAGTTGTCAGCTGCAGAAAGTGCTTGCCTGCAAACAGCTGGAAGGATCACTTTTCACTTGCACGGACAGCAGCAATCACCCGAAAGTAATTAAGGATTATGGCTCGCTGCTTCTTGCAGGCCGTGGTCCGCGCAACAGGCTTCAGCATGATCCATGTAGATCAGCTCCCGTTGTCATAAGCCCCGAGAACAACTTTGTGTAGATTTGCGCGGCCACCCGATCCCCAAACAGTCAGCGTCAATGCCTGTGGTTTCAACCGCTCAAACCTTGAATCACTACAGCTCTATCCACAAACTATAACACTGAACCCAAAACCCTAT